ATGGGCTGTGAATCTGATTTATTGGGTGCACTTCTGTACTTGCATTACAGGCTAATTGTGTACGTGTGTGTGTTTGGGCTCCCTGTGTACGTGTGTGTGTGTGTTTGGGCTCCCTGTGTACGTGTGTGTACGTGTGTGTTCCCTGGGAGTGCCGGCTGACGTTCCGTTTGAACTCCGAATACTTAATTATTACAGCATTTTCTCTCGCTTTTTTTTTATAATGGGGGGGGCTACGTGTAGCCTAGGGGCTTCTGATCACCTTAATCCCCCACTGAGACTGCCTGTTGCAAACCTGCACAAATAAAACACCTACCCAGCGCACAGACCGCGGCTCTACGAACCAAGTAACACAATACATGCAAAAAAGGGTGGGAATAACTCTACAGCGCTACTCCTTCCACTTAATTACCCGGAGAACCGAGAAAATGGTCATCGGATACAAACCACAATCTGGCAAAAACAACAGAATTTTTTTGACAGTAGGTCTAATACATCAACATCCAAAAGAGCAAAGTAACAGCACCAGAAAACTCTCCTCAGTGGAAACTGGGCAGGACCTCTGTCTGACAAGCGTGCTGGTTCAGTCTTGCCAGGCCTCCAGGACACAGAAACTGCAGCAGACTAACACCTCTGGAAGCTCTAGTGCGTCACTGAAGGTGCTCTCCAGTGCGTTACTCATTTTTTTTCCCCGCTTCAAGCACTCGGGGAAACTTCAGTGTGCTTCAGGACGCACGCTGCCAGGTGTGGGCGGCGGTTCGGAAGGAATTCCTTCTGGGCTCTTCACCGGGATTTAAACGGTGCATGAATCTTTTTAGGCTTTTTGAGTTTTGAGCCAAGAAAAATGCAAGTGAAGTTTTTATTTTTGTGAAAATTCCAATGAAATCTGAGCCCCCTGGATGCCTATAGCTCAGCAGCTCCCAACCTCTGGGTTCCAGTACCCTAGAGGTGACGTACAGTACCTCTGTCTGTAAAGAAAAAGTGCAGTGCTATTGACAGACCATTCCTGTTCAGAACGTGCGCTCCGATCGAGTTGATCAGATACAGCAGACGTTACACACTGCTGGAGGAATGCGCTTGCTTGAGCCAGCAAGGGGAAAAGAAACCAGTCTGAACAACAGCAAGATGACCTTTGAACCTTCCAACGATAACCAGGCAATTAAGTGGAAGGCTTTGCGCAGCTATTAACCCTGTTTGCTAAAGAGGAACTACAACACCAAACATCAACAACAGAAAGGGGGAATGATGGGGAGAGGGTGCAGGGGCAGGGAGCTCTCCAGAGTACCTACCTCCTGGCGCAGAATAAGCAGAGACAGCCAGTCACAGAACAGAAAGGTGAGAGGTCATAGGTCATAGGGCATAAGGAAAACAAGAAGTCACATTTAAAAACCACCTCATCAACAAAACAAGCAAAAACAAAAGCACAGACAAAGAGAAAAAAGTCACAGCATAACAATGCAGGGGAAGGGAGAGGAGGAGTGGGGAGCAGAGACACAACTATACTGTACACATACGTAACACTTTTCGTAAACGCAAATGCATTGCTTCTTCTGAAGAAACTTTTCCCTAAAGGACAAGGACGTATGTCAACGTATGATTATGCAAAGACCTGTTGCAGAGCATCTAATAACGTGATGATGGTGCCAAGTAGTTCCTGCAGCTTCCTGTTGCTAAACCCCACTTCCCAAGCCTGCAGTATTGCCTTCTTACACAGCGCGGCTGGCTCTCCCACCAGCAGCTGGCTGACGGCTGTCCCACCCCGCCTGCAGTCAGGATTCCTGGCGGAGGGAGTGCGCACGCATCACAGAGCATGTTCTCTACTTGCACTACTCTGACGGAAGCTTTGAAGAAATAGCATTTCCTAATAACACAACCCAGTAATCTGTCTCTGCCTATCCTTAAAACAAGCTCTCTCTCCGCCGCGTTTCGCAAGCTTCCTTTATAAGAACACAGGAAGGCACCTGCAGAGCAACCCGCCCATCGTACTTGCTTGATGACAGATCCACGGGGAGCCTGTACCTTTCCTAACAAAGTTTTCATAATCCATATTACAATATAATTAAAACAAAGAACACGTGAACCTTCCTGCTGTTCTCAGTAAAGCATATTAATTAACTAATGACCGATTAAACACCTGTATATTGGTCTTTTCCTGAGACGAGGGCTCCAGCCACCAAGTCTTAATTAGAGACATAAGCCTTCTTTAATAAAGGAAAAACTCATTCTAAGTGCGATGAGAGTACCTGTATTTTACACTACAGATCTGAATACAGCCTCCTCTTTGTGGAAATATACTGATCTCCTATGGAGTCGAAAAAAAACACCTTTCAGCTTTCAGGCTGAAAATAACTGTTGGATTGCAAAAGGCACAAAATGGAGGAAAAAAAAAGTGACAAAAAGTGTTTTTTCTGCTGCCGATGTTACTAACCGAGTTTCAGCAGCCAGCCCTCTCGATCCGGGTTGAAGAACGTGTGTGTGAGGTCGTTGCCATCGTCTTCGGGGATTTTGAACGGCTCGTTTTTAATACTTTCGTATAAATTCTGCAAGAAAGGGGAGGAGGAAGACGAGGCCTTAATACTGTCGTACACAACACCCCCACACCCCCACCGCGCGGCGAGACGCTTTCCTGGCCTCCCACTTCCGCTGGGAAAAGTGTGGAGTGGAAATAGCAAGGGGGGGAGAGGAGGAAAAGACCTGCGCTCTTGTCTGAGTGTTAACTTGAGGCTGGGGGGGTGGAAGGAATCTTAAAACAAAAAAACAGCTCAAGCCAGCTGCCTTCCAGCATGAAGTCAAGGGAAGCAGAGTTTGACACTGTTTACAGTTTGCATTTCTGCTGCAGGGCCACTCTTTCCTTAAGCTCAGTGTAAGCTCTGCGCCCGCCCCTCGGTTAGACCCTTTAAATGAGCCAAAGACAAAGGAAGCAAATAAATGGCTTAAGAAAAGTAATCCTGACAACATCTGGGGAAAGCATCCACAGGGTAGAAACTGACTGAGAGTCTGAAATGTTCAGATTTAAGAGCACCAGTGTCCTTGGCCTGTGCACAGCCGGAGGGTTCCCTGTCCTGACCCCCTAGGCCTGTGCCAGGCAGCTCTGCACGTACCCTGAGCAGCTCTTCGGGCAGGTCCCCTCCGTCGTTGATCCCGCGGTTCATGGAGATGAACCTCTCCACTGCGGGCTTGTCCCGCACATTGGGGTTGTGCAGACTCGTGTTCAGCATGATGATCGCGAAGGAAAGGACGTAGCACGTATCTGGAAGGGACAGCACACACGACAGCCAATGTCAAGCCTTCTGCACGGCAGAGATGGTCCTCCCTTCTTTCTGCATTCACACAAAACGTACCCCAGCAGCATGAAGTAACAGAGGGGGGAAGTCTGAAAGAATGCAAGCCCAGTTATGACAAACTAACCACCCTGAGGATCTAATGCAAATAAACCTCTTCCTCGTTATTTATCCACATCACAGTTCGGACACGTGTTTAAAGGAGATGTTTAAGAGAAAACAAATGCTAAAGCTTGGAAGTGCATCTGAGAATCGCAGAATCAAGTACACGAGAGGTACGTTCTGTGTTTAAAAAATGGTTCTCTCACACGCGCAGTTTGTTGGAAACCAGTAAGAGATTCCTGAGCCTTGAATGTTGAGGTCGCATAGAGAACAATCATTTAAATAATTCTTTCAAGGAAGAACAAACTATACCAAAGAACATCTGGGAAAAAAAGTGCTTATGGTATGTTAAGCATCAGATGCATACAACCTCCTCAACTTAAACCATTAAATAAAGCAAACTATACATCATCTATAGTTTTTTCTTTTTTTGCATTTCATCGCATTTGTGACAGAGTCATCCACCAGCTCTGCAGTCTTTATCTTCTCACTCAATTCGCGCTGACAGCTGCAGTCCCGTTTAACCCTGCAGACGTCAGGGCCTATTCTCATCAATGCAGTTCACTCTTCCTAGAACAATGAGTCCTCTTTCCACCATCGGATCTGCTTGTACAGTGCAGGCATGCATTGCTGATAGCCAGGAATTCATACTTCGTGCAGGCCACACAATAGCCTGGTTTCCAGCATTTAGACACGGTGTTCACATCCACTGAGGACTTTGTAAATGACTACCGATACGTTCATTAAGAGGCGCATCGTTACGATGCTGATGATAAAGTCTTCTGAACGAGGCGGATGGAAGTGTATTATGAAATATATGCAAATTGAATTGCTCTGGCCCACTTCAATCCTAGAAACGAGTCCAAAGAGACGTCATCCTACTTCACGCTAACTTCCCCAGCGGGTGGACGAATGATTATGTTTCTGACCTGTAGACTGGAAGACGCCAGGATTACACTGGCAGTACCGTGATGCAAATGTTTCCATCATGCGATCGATCTTCTGAGCCTCCCCAGGAAGTCTGAAGCTCCATAGAAACTGCCTGTTAGCAGAATGAAACAGGAAATATCAGCACTTTGATTAACTGATTGACTGGATGATCGATTGACCTATCGCATTTCTGACCATAAACTTCAAATCTGTATCTGAGGACAGTTTTGCCGAGTATGTACACTTCATTGTTAAATGTTATTTTGGCCATCCGAATGTGTATTGTGAAGAGGCCGTGCCCACATGCTTGACACATTCTGCCACTGCTCATTTTATAATTTCTTATTTTCATTATTTCAAGGCTGAAAGTGACGTCAGCAGGTCTACTGCATCACTGTTGCTAGAGGAACTTCCTCACATCCCAGGCACTCGCTAGAGAGGTATCCCACTGCATTAACATGCACCTGCAGCTCATTCCCTGTGTGAGACGGCCTTAAAAACTCTTCAGCTTACCTTAAAGCCTGCACAAGGTTGAGGTCTGCAAACTCATGGAGCTCGACAAAGGCCTGCAGCACCTTAATGTTGAATTCGTCTCTGAGAAACAAAGGAAAAAACCTCACTGTAGATCAGGTGTCGGGAGAAAATTCCAGGGAACACACTGGGCAAGAGCTTTCAAAACCCTGACGCGGGACAGCGGTCCTTTCCAGGGCACAGAAAAAAAGGCGTTCCACTTGAGCGTATTTAAAATACCGTGACATTTTACGGCCCTTTAAGAGTCAGCAGGATCAGATTCGAAAGAGCAAAACCTGAACTGTGTCCAAAGGGATCTAAAGTGCTTCGCTCAATGCCCCAAGAAAAGGCCGTCCATCTGAGTGAGGCTGACCTCTATGTTGCAGGCAGTGCCAGCTGGACCCTGGGCCGTGACGCCTGCCACACAGGGGCTGAACTACCTCCTTTCTGGCACGCAGAGCCTGGCTATGTGACATCACTGGCAGACGTGTAGCCCCGCCGCTCAGCGCGGACTCGCCTGTCGGACGCCGCGGAGCCGTCGGCGGGACCCAGCCGCCTGGCCCGGCAAGCAGGGCATGCTGGGAGAGCACCCCTGCCCATCCCCTTCCCTCCCAAGAGGGAGAGCGAGCTGCAGCTGCAGAACCGCAGCTCGAAAAAGGGTCTGGTTACTGCAGATTGGGCAGATATAAAAAAAAAAGAGACGAGCGTGATTTTAAGTTTTGGGGGGGGTGGAGAAAAAAGGAATTTATCCCCAAGGTGCGGTATGAGTGTTAGACGTCATAGGCAAGAGCTGGGGAAAGCTTTTTAAGAACACTGTTCTCACAGACAGCTTATTCAGCTTCTTGCGCACTTTTGTTTTTGAGATGTTAAAACCCTTATGGCCTGGACCTGGACAGCTTTACAGCCATGCCGTTTACAAGGAGGAAGGAGAACACAGGATGAAAAGCCATAACACGAGCCACAGCGGGGCTGGCCTGGCCTGGAGAACGGTGGGGTGACCCGATCGGCGGTGGACGGGCTGGGGCGAGCCGAGATGCACGAGGCGCGATCCTGCCTTCCCTGCCGCGCGTGGGACTTTCCTGCCTGTCCGTGCCTCCAGCAGCGCGTGAGAAAGGGAGACGGAAACGGCACCAGAAGGGAAAGGGCAAACTTGCTTCAGCGCACATCAACAGGACGCCGCGCTACACTGTCTGAAGCGGCCCCGCCCTCGGTCTCCTCCACACCAGCCTTCTAATTACACGTAATGACAGGTTTCGGGGCCTGCCACGAACACAATTAGCTTTAATTGCGTAAGTATAAGTGTTCCTCCTATGTTTACAGTCAACAGCAACGTGGAGGGACGTGGTGATCTGCCTCCCCGGTCGGCGAGGGCTGGGAGACCGAGGAGACAGGCTGCTGCGAGCGGAGCAGCTCGATGGACTTCGAGACTCTCCTGCAGCACAGAACCGTAGAGGCCCCACAAGCTCAGGGCACTGATTAGGGTGTGACGGGACACCGCATCCACTGTCATTACTACCACCGTAGGGTGTCTGTCTTGCGACTGTGAATCTTAAATGTCGTTCTACACTTGGGATACAAGCTGAAATTTTCTTGGAGTTCATGTGGATGAAAGGACAATTGCAGAATCGCCTCTTAACAACATTTACAGCAGATAACTGTTGTGCATTTAGCAGTGATAGAAAATACAAGCTGATCTACCTGTTTTTAAGGAACAAGTAATAGGTTTATACCTGTTTTTATTTTACTAAAAGGAATACAAAACCAAACTTAAGTGTTTTCATAGAAATTAGCCTGTGGGGGCAAAAACTCAACTGACACAGCTTTATCCACAGACCTTGGGAATGGTCTAAGATACCAAACGTACCAGAGCAGCGTTTCACTTAGTCACGTGTTGGAGAATTTCTGCACAATAGAAGCTCTTGTTATTTTGAGAGTCTGGAGTCCCCAGAGGTGGCTAATTTTCTTTTCGAAGATAAGAAACATCTGCCGTATGAATGGTTTGAATAGCTAAGGAAACTGCTCAGTATCTGACTCAATGAATCCAGACAATTCGTTTCCTGAATCTTTCAACCCAGATCCTGAACGCCCAGGCTCGCAGCCCTCTGTACATCACAACATGCAGCGTGTTTATTTCAGCTACGTCCAAGCTGTGACAAAACTCAATCTTACCGCTCTCCCAGGTAATCTCCAATAACCGTTTTATTCAAGCCCTCCCCTTTGTAGAGAAACTGTGCGATGTCTTCAGGGGTGTTCTGCAAGAGGTCGTTTTCAAGAAGAAACTGGATACCCTATAATTAAAACAGATACATTTTTAAACTGGCTTATTTCTTTGGGTCACAAAAATGTTTTGGAATGCCAGAGATCGTACAAATGCAAATAACTATCACTTTTTGAACAGCCACATGCTCTCAATGTGACAAACTGAAACGCTGCATTATGGGACAAAGCCGAAGGACTTTTGAAGTTGCCAGCACTGCGGGTGGTCTGCAACAGGGGCCCCAGCGCGTTAACTCGCAGAAACCTACTGAGGCAACTGGAAAAGTACGGATTCAGTTGGGAAAAACTGAAAGAAGTGCATAAAGATGAAGATAAACACTACGGGGCGACATTATGGTGCCGCATCTTGTAGTTAATTTTTACAGCTGCAGGCAGTGCAAAAATGCTAAATGCATCTTATCCATTTGTTTATCGAAACATAAACAAAACATGCACTAGTCCTTCTGTAAGTCTAATTATATCCAACTGATCTCCCACTCGACCACACTTAGTTCAGGCCGAGAGTAAAACTGCAAACCAAGTGCACTAACACAACACTCATTCACTCACCTTTTTGGGATCCATGTTGAATTTTTTTCTTCCCATGGCAATTTGCTTGTTCCTTTGTGAGGTTTTGCTGTAATATTAAAACAATCATGAAGAACCATAGATTGTAGCATATTTAGCTGAAAAGGGTCTCTTGCTAAAGCACTGTGACGGGCATTTCCAAAACTAAGGAAGTCCCTTCAAGCTTCCTCTCAAGATCTACGCGTTTACTGTAGCAGAAGAGGAAGACCCATTTCAGACACGGGTGACAGTAAGAGACCATGTGTCAGAGATGACCGGACGGCCGCATTCCTGGAGTACCAGGTGAAGAGACCTGATCCATCAGCCTGACACACCCACTGTTCATATCCATCCTGACTCCCAGCTGGCCAGCTGCACCAGCAGAACACATTTGTTTTCCCTGTTTGGAACGAGTCTCACTGTTCTGACAATGCAGCAGGGACAAACACAGAACTCACTGATCTGACAATGCATGACTGCACCAGGGGTTGAAAGCAAAGGTTTCTCAAGGCACAGCTGAAAGACCGAACACAGCCATCGCTTTCAACAGCACAGTTAACCTATCCTGCTCCAACAGCAGAGCCACCTGCCTGCCTGCAGACGCCTGTAACATGATTAGTGCTGTCAATAGAGGTGATGAAAGGCTAATGCAAAAATAATACAGCGGTGAGCCACTCTTGACTTTGGGTTCGAAATACAAAAGGGATTTAGGCTACAAAAAGAGCAGGTGTGCATCCGAGGGGCTGTATGTTGTTGTCGGTGTTATTAATTATCATCAGACATCAACTTCGTGTTTCCCTGCTGCCAACAATGTCCATGTTTCCTTTTGGAAAAGTTTAAAATCAATAAAGTAAGAGTGCAGGTGAAGTAAAAACCACCTTGTGCAAAGCAGTCTGCTGGTGCTCACCTCTCTCCCATACAGGTCAAGTGCTCGATTTCCGTCATGACTTCTGCAATCTCAAATTTCAACCTCTGCAAAAGACACACCGAGAGTAAGGCCATCTGAGGGCTTCCTTTAACCCGTCTGCACCCGGGAGCACAGAAGAGCATTGTTGCTCAGCAATCAGGAGGAATAATAACAGAAATTAATTCGGGGGTACATGCTCCTGCATTTGAATAACATAGCAGCAATATTTGAAATTCATAGTAGGAGCTTGTGACTGTCTAAATTAATGAAAGAAAATTCATGAAAGAAATCTTTTATTGAGAACAGGCATTTTCAATGGCTCACAGAAGCAACAGTATTTAAAAAGAAAGCTTTAAACCTAAACCTTTAGCCATTAAAAAACATGTGTGATGAAATACCTCAATGTCATCCAGAAGCTCTTTTTTCCTACGTCGTATATTTGACAGCTCGTCTCGTTCCTCCAGGGAGAGGTCCTCAGGCACTGTGAAAACAAAAACGCCACTTTCAATAAATTAAGGAAAATAAGGCCGGGAATGGTTGGAGTTGGTGCTACTCAGCTCTCGCAGTGAATGAGTCCATGTGAAACACACTGCCAAAACAAGTAAAATTAAACCCTACTGTTCCATACAGTAACATTTCTATAAGAGCTAATAGGAAATGAAAGCTCAATTACTTAGCATCCTCAAAGAGCCAGAACTATTAATGAACTCCTGGAGATGGAAGTGGCTCTTTCCTCTGAAATGAAGCCCCATTAAATAAATCACAAGAACTCCGGACCAGAAGCCCGCAGTTAGTAAAACCGCAGGGCGTGGTAAAAAGACCAGTGCAGTTCGGGGTCCCTGTGAAACTCAGAGGTGGCTTCGGCCGCCCCCTTAGTTCAGGACAGTAGAACGAGAACTGTGTGCTGAATGGGTTACGATGTGTTTAATGTGGCAAGTGGGGCAGTGGTGTGAATTATCACTTAGGATTGCTCAGGCAATCACATTAAGCTTACAACCAAGCAAAGTGAACTAGGTCAGACTACAGCTGAAGCAGACTGCATTTCCCATGTAGTTAGGCCTTCCCTGCAGAATTCATTACTCTGGAAAAGCAATACAACTTCCTGAAAAGTTCCCCTCAAAACGTTGCGCTACGTCTAGCAAAAAAATTGCAAGAAAATGTGAAACAAACTAAAAAATAAAATATGCAACATACCATTAATACCAACACCATAATAAATATTCATTTAATGAATCGCATTACCAAGAAATGCAAAAACAGAAGCCCTAACCCATAGATGATGAACTTTATGACATGGGTTTCCACAGCCTGCAAGACAATTCCACCAAAGTGCCGGCTCACACAATAGTTTTGGACCTTTCTGATGGACATAATGCCCTTATTGTTGAGCTTTCCCCTATGGACTTACCCACGCAAGTTAACCTATAATGCACAAGGCAGAGCAGACACCCTCCTACACATCCAAAAGAATTCCCCATCACAAGAGAAGAAAAAGTGGGACCATTGATGGCAGGAAAACTCAATAACAATCCCTGCTGTGTATTTTCAGGCAGAGCGACGGGCATAAAAAAGAAAAGGCAACATGATATGATTCTAGTACTATTTGGGGCTGTTAATTGCACTGAACATGGTCTTTGCAACTGAAATGGCAAACACAAAGAGAGGAAGCCATCCGGCCCGTTAGAAGTTAGTTGTCAATTGGTCTGAGGATCTTGATTCTTAAAAGGAGCCCAGGTATCAGCTTCAACAACACAGCTGGGCAGCTTGTTCCAGACACCCACCACCCTTTGGGTGAAAAAACGGCTCCCGTTCTGAATTGCAAATGCACCCCCCTCATATTTTCCAGCTGTGTCCTCGGGTTGCTGTTTCGCCGTCGGATCTGAAGAGGCCCTCTGGGCTGACTTGGCTGAGCGCTTGTATCGGGTCATCGACTCGTGCTCTTCTCTGCTCGAGATTAAAAAAGCTCAGATCGTTCCGGCTGCAAGTGTAGGACGCTCTCTTTCAGGAATGCACCTGGACTGAATCCAGAACAGCAACACATATTTTCGCAACGTGGTGACCAGAACCTGAACACGGTATTCCCAGTCCGTTTTGCACATCTAACATGACATCCCTCCAATTCAGATCTATGCTAATTATGGCTAATTAATATGCAGGACTCTGGTCTACCCACATATCCCACATAAACTGCAAGTTAAAGAAAAAGAACTGATCACAAAAGTTCCCTGGTTCATGTAAGAAGAAAAGGGATATGCGCCCCTCTCTCCAGTGCTTTCTGTCAGACAAGTAGCTGGACACTATCTGTCTTATATTAAAATTGTATGTGGCATTAAACATTTTCCTGTGCTTTTCCAAGACACTCATTCACAATTACTGTATACTTATACCACCTCTGAATTAGAATGTGGCATTAGAGCCTGTTCGTTTGTCATCCAAGAGTACCATCTCTAAACTGCGTGCCAATCTATTTCACTTACACTTCCCCCCGCTGGAATTTCAAAACACAAACCCAGAGGCAACAGCCACATCCCTGTTCCCTGCGAGATCACACTCAAAGGGCACACAAAGTTCACAGGCGCCAGTCTGCTCGAGCAGGCAAACACTACAATCAGCCAGCTATATAGGACTATCATTCTGTCAGCCCAACCCCACTAATGACCCAGCCCCACAGTAACCTGGGCTCAGTCTCAAATCATACAACTCAAGGCAAAGTAGGACCAGCATGATAAATATGGCCAAACTGTTTCTCATGACATTGAGTTCCTTACTTCTTTTCCATCCAGGTGTACCACTGCAAGCTTTCCACCTGTGGTGAAAGCTGCTATATTGCAAAATTTGTGTTGGTTTTTAAGCAGCAAAGGTCAGTGGGATTTCGAAGAGGGCAGACAAATATGGCCGTTTCCTTCTGTCCGTCAGCTCCTTGGAAATGATGTCCCTTCCAGTTCAGAGATTACATTTTTTATACTCTAAAATACTCTGAACTGGAGGTTCAGCTTCCATTTTCATCCACATGTAACAGTGAAACGCATCATTGGTTGCACAAGAGCTAAACAAACTTAAGACTTGTTTGTTCACACTCCCCAGGTAGCATGTATAACAATTAAAAGCAAATGTTGTTAATTACAGTAGGCTTGCAGTAACCAAAGCCATACACAGCCCCAGGAGGATCCTGTTACAAAGGAGAGGGTCTAGCTGCTGATAAAACACACCTTGGGTTTGTAGACCTGATAACAGTACAATGAACACACACACCGCACACACATCGGGTCAGTGCAGGTCCTGCTGTACTCCCTACACCAGTCGGGCCATCTGCTGCAAGATCTGAATAAATCTATGAAAACACACAAGCAAACACAGCCCAGCACATCTTTAGTATACTTTGAGAGCATATTCAAATTTAAACTGCAGCTGCATATAAATTAAAAAAAAATGCGGGCCCCTCCCGAAGCAGCAAACAGAAAACACAGCCTACAGGCAGAACAAAGAACTGCTTGTCTGACTTCTTCTAGTGTATGGGGAAGTGGTGAGAAAGACTGACCACAGCGCGTCAGCTGTGAAGCCTCCTTCACCCACAGACAGTGAGTGAGTCCGTGGCGTACTCGCTGAGGAATTGGCCTCTGCTCATACCTGTAGATAAGTAGAGCAGCTCGCTCAGCCCCAGAGCGAAGCAGAGGGACTCATTCGACAAACACTCCAGGACTGAGACAGCGGAGCCCGACTGCTGTAGCATCTGGTCTGCTGCAATCACAGGCCAAACACTGCAGCACTTTCTGGCTTCACTCTTGTGTTGACATTTGCCACACTACAGAATGGAAAGAAGCCTGCACATTTTAAATCAAGAACAAGACATTCAAGACTCTTCCCGGTATTTATGTTTCAGGTCACCCTGCTCTTGCTTTGCTCCCGTATTATAAAAACCGATATCGCGATCACTGTGATGTCTACGATCTGATCCTAGATTCTCTAGATTAATGCACAAGCCAGTTTCCCTAGGAGCTGCGTGGATTAACCAATAACACTGTAGAAACACAAAAGTCTTTTTCTTCACTGTGTGGGGAAAATCCTTACTCCTGAATACATTTAAATTAAATAAGACAGAGGCCTGCTGCAGACATAATATTGTTTTAAACCAGGTATAAATCTGATTCTGTAGCAATAAGTGAATTGTGCATATGGTATCTGCAGATCAATAGTGTTTAGATCGTGAGGTATTCCAGTTCAGTTCTGACCTGCTCCAACACTGACGTCAGAGTCAGACTTAATTGCTCCACACTGAAGGGACCAGTGTTTAGACTCATGGAGAGCAGAGAGGCTGGGCTGGTCCAGCATTCCTGGAAGGTGATTAATCACCACAATGAGTTTATTAATCACACAGACTTGGACGGCCACCAGTAGGCAAAGTCAAATAACTCCACTTAAACAGCATCCATCAGTCCAGAAAGACAGGCGACAGCATTGCAGCAGGCCACTCCGTTGTGTGACGGTTACTTTTATACAGCTGGCAGATGCCCCAGAGGCCACACATAAGAGCATAAGAAAGGCTAGAAGGACGATTAGGCCGAACGACTTCCTTTGGTAGTTACTAGTTTACTGATCCAAGGATCTCATCCAGAAATCAGGGTAGCTTGTTCCATACTCCCACACCCCCACACCCCCATCCCTCGGCTGCCTCCTCACAGTGCTGGGGATCAGAGCGTTTTTCAGGTCACATGGTAATCCTTCAGCAACAGAAGCTCAAGGGCAACTGAGCTTACCAGGACACCAGGATAGAAACGGAAAACCTCTGGTTTTTGAGCTCCGCCCTTTATAGCTCCAGATTCTGTGGCAGTTTTGAAACAGTCTTTACCGTGCGTGGCTCAGTTTGCCAGCTGACCGTCAGACTGACTCCCGATTGACAGCTCTCACAGGAAGAGAAACCAGCTTCTTCACAGTTCACAGTTCCCACCGAGATTTCCGGAGGACAAAAGACAAGGCATTTCCAAGGTTTCCAAGAATGCCTGTGCGAAGAACCCCACATTTCTGAAACAGCCCCCCCTAGGTCTTCCAAACCTGGCCTCGCAGATATAGTGTTGGTACTTCATCCTGATCGTTGAGACCTTCTTGTGCCTTGCTGGAGTACGATCCAGCAGCACTGCCTGATGTTTTCCTTGAAATCACATCGACTTGAAGGCTGCCAGACGCATAACAATCTTTAATTTATTGTTAGCCATGCAATTGAAGCATGCTATTGTATAAACAGTTTGCAGTTGTCCTTACCAGGACTTGTGCAGATGTCTTGTTAAAAGGAGATCTTCTTAGCAACACAGCGACCTATAAAGTGTGTCTTATGGCTCTGAAACTTTAATGAGCCTTTATTAAATATTTACTCAGTGCAGAGCACCATTGACTCAGGAAGACTTTTTGACAACTTTCAGTGCCCAGAACACCACCCCTCCAGTCTTTCATTTACACAGTTGCCCTTTTTGCACCTGAACAAATGTA